GATGATGAGGATGCTGATGATGCTGATGATGGTGCTGATGATGATGCTGATGATGATGGTGATGGTGATCATGATGGCGATGATGATGGCGATGATGATGATCATGATGATGATGATGCTGATGATGATGATGATGACGCTGATGATGATGATGCTGATGAGGAGGAGGAGGAGGAGGAGGAGGAGGAGAAGGGAGGAGGATCGACCAGTGGAAGGAAGATGGAGGTATAGGAGGAGGAAGGATGGAGGAGGAAGGCTGTAGGAGGAAGGATGGAGTAGGAAGAGGTAGGAGGAGGAGGAGGAGGAGGAAGAGGAGGAGGAGGAAGGCTGCAGGAGGAAGGATGTAGGAGGAAGGAGGATGGAGGACGAGGAGGATGAAGAGGAGGCCTGGCGACGGGCGAGGTGCTCAAGGGCATCGAGACCGTTTCTTTCGCCACCGGCTTGCCAGACGTGCTGGCGGGACGGCTGCTAGAGGTATCGACCGGCGTGACTTGCCAGGAGCAGCGGCGTCCGCTCGGCGTGGTGGCCTCCATCGTGCCCTTCAACTTCCCAGCGATGGCCCTCCATCCTCACTCGTGCGCCTCCCACCTGTCCTGCTCATCTCTCCTATTCCTCTCCTCATCCCTCCTACTCCGTCTATCCTCCTCGTCTACTCCTCCGTCGTTCTCGTTTCCCCCTCTCCATCTCCCTCCTCTTATTCCTCCTCATCCTCCGCCGTCGTCCTTCTTTCGAAATTATCCACACGATCCTCCTCATACTCCCTCCCTCCTTCCCACCCTCCCTTTCTCTTTCTCTTTCTCTCTCTCTCTCTATCTTTCTCTTTCTCTCCTTCCTCCCTTTCTGCCTCCCCTCCCTCCCCAGCACCTGCTGCGCCTCATGATCCATGCGTTCCTCCCTTCTTCCTGTTCTTCCTCCTCCCTCCTCCTGTCTCCTCTTTCCTCCCCCTGTTCTTTTCCCTCCCCACTCCACAACCACCATATGACCGTACTCGTTTTCCTTTCCTTCTCAGCGTTCTAATCCTTTCCCTATCCCCCCGCGCCCGCGGGAGGATGGGGATGATGAGGAAACAGAGGAGGAAGAGGACGAGGATGAAGAGGAGGATCAGGAGGAAGAGTAGTGGCGACGGGGAGATAGAGGAGGGGCGATATGCACAGGAGCAAGCAAAGGGAAGAGGGGAACGAGGTCCCTCTCTGGACACTCCCCATCGCGATCGCCTGCGGGAACTGCCTCATCATGAAGCCCAGCGAGAAGGCGCCGCCTGACCTGGATGCGTCTCCCCCCCCCCCTTGTCAAGAGCCCCCTTCCCCACCCACCCACCCACACCACCACCACCACCACCACCACCACCGCCAGCACCCGCCCAAACACTTACTCCAACCCCCCCTAATCCACCTGACCCACCCCGCATCCCCACACCCCATACCCCACACTGCGTCCAGGTATACCCTTCCCATGCTTTTCCCGATATTTCTCCCTCCCGCTTCTCCTTCCCCACTCCCTTCACTTACGTATTGTTATCCCGCCTCCTCCTCCTCCTTCTCCTCCTCCTTCTCCTCCAACCTCCCCCACCCCCTCCTTCCTCTACCTCCACACGTCCCCCTCCCCTCTCTCCCTCCCTCTCTTATATCTCTCTCTCTCTCTCTCGCTCTCTCTCTCTCTCTCTCTCTTTCTCTCTCGATACTGGAAAGGGGAACGCTGGCATAGCAGTCACACAGTTGGGAGAATTGCTGGGGCCCTGCGCCATCAGCTGCAGCTCTTGGTACTCGGGCCTTTCTGGGGCCCATCACTCTCCGCTCGCCGCCAGGGTCAGCACGGGAGGTCCCGAGCGTCTTCTTTCAGGGCGGTGCCGGAATTCTCGCCTCCGCTTGCTGATCAGTGTATCCCGCTTTGGTCCCCCCTGCGTCCCCCGTTAAGCCGCGCATTAAAGTTCACTCTTGCCCAGGGTCACTCTTGCGTGCAGCCGATATATCCCGCTGTGTTCCCCCCTCGCCGCCGGGAAGCCCTGCGAGAGAAGGTGCCACTCACCCTGGTGCGCATGGCCGAGCTCCTCGCAGAGGCAGGCCTGCCCAAGGGCGTGCTCTCCATCCGCGGAGCCAGGGCGATGAGCCCGCCCCGAGCCCATCCCCCCGATAGGGACGGGGCGAGAGTGGTCATCCTCCTCCTCCCTCCTCCTCCTCCGCCCCTCCTCCCTCTCCTCCTCCTCCTCCTCCTCCTCCTCCTCCCTCCCTCCCTCCCTCCCTTCTTCCCTCCTTCTCTCCTTCCCCCCTCTTTCGTCCCTCCACCCTCCTCCTCCTCCTCCTCCTCCTCGCTTCCTCCTCCTCATCGAGCCCTTCGGGGGAAGAAACATGCTTCCCAGCTGAGCTTCTCGGATTCCTGCGGAACTGCACTGGGGTCATATCATCAGCAGTACCATCAGCATTCATATCAACAGCATCATCAACGTCTTCATCATTATCGTAGTACGCATCATCAGCATCATCATCATCATCACCACCATCATCATCATCAGCAACATCATCATCAGCATCAACGTCATCATCATCATCATCATCATCATCATCATCATCATCATAATCATCATCAGCATCATCCTCCTCATCATCATCATCAGCAACATCATCATCAGCAGCATCATCATCGTCATCATCATCAGCAGAAGCAGCAACAACGGCATCATCATAATGACCACCACCACCAGCAGTGGTAGCATCATCATCTCTTCTTGTCTTTTCTGCTCTCCTCCTCCTCCTCCTACTCAGGAGCATCATTATCATCATCAGCAGTAGCATGATCATCATAATAAACATCAGCATCATCAACATCAACATCAGCATCATCATCGTCACCATCATCATCACCACCATCAGCATCATCATCATCCGTTCTCCTCACCCGCATCCTCCTCCTCATCATCATCCTTATCATCCTCATCCTCATCAAACTCATCATCATCCTTGTCATCATTCCACCATCACCATCATCATCATCATCATCATCATCATCACCAACATCATCATAATTATCATATTCATCATCATCATCATCATCACCATCAGCAGCAGCAGCATCATCATCATCCCTCCTCCTCCTCCTCCGCCTCCTCCTCCCTCCTCCGCCTTTTTTCCTCCTTCCCTTCATCCTCCCTCACGCGCGCGTGCCAGCGCCTCCGCCTCCCTCTCCCCCCCTCCTGCTCCCCCCGCACGCGCGAGGGAGGTGGGAATGAGATAGGAAGGGGGTGGGGGTGGGGAAACGGGGGAGATGGGAGGAGTGGTGGAGGGGAGGGCGCACCAGTAACTGCCGCTCAGGCCTCCTTCACATTGGTGGGAGGTGCCGCGGGAGATTCAGGGGTAGGATTCCCCATCCCCCTGGCGCAGTTTGAAGGAGACCACGATTGGAAAACAACAGTGGGACGTGGTGATGAGGGCGAGTCCCGCCCCTTCTGCACGCCCGTAGCAGAGAGGCACCGACTTTACACACGCTCTGGCATGTGTGATCCAGCGCCCGCGACAGAGAAGGCGCCACCTTGGGGCATACCCCGCGGCGTCCCGGCGCTAGAGCTCCTGGAAACGGTGCCAGCGGCTCACGCAGCGCACTCAGAACATGGAGGGGTGAGCTCTGGTGTGCTATCAGTGATCGGTCAGCATCGAGGCACGCCTTGAGGCTCACCTGGGGAGAGGCCCGAGGCGAGCAGGCGATCGGGCCTGACGAAGGCCGATCCAGGCGGTCTGTGCTCTTTGAAATATGTCAAGACGGGGTCCTGACTGCTCCTGGGTGCGACACAGCTGATGACCAAGCCTGATAGCACACTGCTGCATCGTCGTGATGCTGGTCGTGCGGTCAGTCCCGCGGTCGGGGTCGGCAGATTGATTGGCGGCCGTGGGGCGTTGCGTGGCCCGCCTCCGCTCAGTGGCCTGCACTGGAGTCAGTCGGATGCCTTCACCCTGGTAGGTGATGCGGAGGCCGTGAGGCCGTGGTGCCTTCAATCTGGTCTCATCGCATACAGTTGGGTTGGCTGTACTGGCCATGCCGAGCGCGCCCGGTGGCGGGTGGCTGGGCTGCTTTGTGGCGTGAGCTGAACACGTTCTTCGGCTGCCTCATCCTCACCTGGTGGCGGGTAGGCGGGCTGGCCTGGTGTTGGCCTCACTCGGTCGGCCTGGCAGAGTACGTTGCGTTGAGGGCCTGGGTGTGCGGCAGCACTGTCCAGCCCATGAGGGCTCTCCGGGGGGGCCCGGTCCGCAACTCGTCACTATCTCCACGCAGTTCCTCATGCTGTTCGCAGGCGCCTGGGGGGCGGCGGCCAGGTGGTTACCCACCTCCAGAGGCGTAGTCGCCGTGCACCTTCTGGACGTTCCAGGACGGCCGGGTGGGCCAGGGGAGAGCGGCAGGAGATCAGCAACCGCGTGGGAGAACCCTTGTGCAACTTGAGGTCTGGCGCCTGGGGCGGGTTCCCGGTGGTTACCCGCGTCCAGGGCGTGCCTTCCCGTCGCACTCTTGCCGTGGTGTGCACGGCATGCCGTCCAGGCGCACTGCTCAACGTGCCGAGCTGTCCCGCGCCCGTTTCGCTCGTGGACGTGCGGCTGCCGACGTGCTGCTGAGCGACGTGATGGTATTGCATCCCGTCGTATCGACGACATCCTAGTGGTCGGTTTCGTCATGCTACGTGGTGTCACTGCGGTCCCCGACGTGCTGCTCGGAGGCATAATGCACGCTGCCCTGCTCGTCTCATTCGTAGGTGTGGGGCCGCTGATGCTGAGTCCCGTCTTGATGCGCGACGCCGTGGTGCTTGGTCCCACCGTTGTTCTTATTGACTGGGTGCTGGTCCCTGCCTTGCTACTAGGGGGCGTAGTGCTCGCTGCACTGCTCGTGTCCCTCGTAAGTGCGAGGCCGTTGGTATTGAATCGCCACGTAATCCTCAGCGTCGTGGCGCTCAGCTCCGTCGCGTTTCGCAGTGTCGAGGTGCTGGTCACCGGCGTTCTGCTGTAAGCCGTGGTGTTCGAAGCAGTGCTCGTCTCTCTCGTAGGTGTGAGGCTGCTACTGCAGAATCCTGTGGCTGTGCACGTCGTGATGTTGCTCACCTCCGTCGTGCAGCCCTGTGACCCGTAGCAGGTCCCAGACGTTCTGCTCGAAGACATGATGCTCGCTTCAGTGCTCGCCCCACTCGTAGCGGTGGGGGTGCTGTTACTGGGTCCAGTCGAACTGCTCAACGACATGGTGCTCAGCTCCGTTGCATTGCGCGGTGCTGGGGTGGCTTCGGACGTGCTGCTCGGAGGCGAGATGTTTGTTGCCCTGCTCGTCTCACTCGTAGACGTGCGGCTGCTGATGCTGGGCCCTGTCTTGATGCGCAACGTCATGATGCGTGGTCTCGCCGCGCTGCCCCGTGTCGTGGTGCTGGTCCCTGCCGTGCTGCTGACAGACGTGGTGGTCGCTATCTGGTCGTCCCACTCGTAGATGTGCAGCTATTGGTGCAAGACCCCGTCGTACTGCGCAGCGTCGTGGTGCTCAGCTCCGTCGCGTTTCTCGGTGTCGAGACGGGCGTGGTGTTCCATTCACTTCACTGCTCGTCTCCCCCGGCTTGAGGCTGCTGATGCTGGATCCCGTAGCATTGTACGTCGTGGTGGTTCTCGATTCCGTCGTGCTGCATTGTTTCCCAGTGCTGGTCGCGTAGGTGCTGCTGGTGGACGTGCTGCTCGTGGACATGCTGCTCATGGCATTGCTTATCACAGTCGTTAGTGTGAGGCTGCTGGAGCCCATGTACGCGAGCCCGGGTGGGCTGGCCATGGACCTCATGGCGCTTCTCGTCACACTCATGAATGTAAAAATCTTGGTGCTGGCTCTCGTCGTACTGTTCGACGCTGTAGTGCACCACCTTTTCGCGCCGCCCAGCGTTGAGGTGCTAGTGACAGACTTGCTGTTGAAAGACGTGGTGATGCTGGGTCCTGCCATGCTGTCCAATATCGTTGTACTCAGCTCCGCCGCGTTGCTCAGAGTAGAGGTACTGGTCGCAGACGTGCTGCTGGAATATGTGGTGATCAACGGACCGCTCGCCTCACTCGTAGGAGTGAAGCTGTTGGAGCTGTATCCTGTCTCGACGTCGTATTGCTCGATTGCATCGTTTAATGTGATGTCACGATGTCCTGGGCATGGTGCTCCAAGCCGTGATGCTAGTTGCATTACTCGTCTCACTCATAGATGTGAGGTTGGTGTTGCTGGATCTCGTCGTGATGTGTAACGTCGTGAGGCCTGATGCCTTCGTACTGCTCAGAGTCGCGTTTGTGGTCCCTGACGTGGTCCTCGAAGTCGTGGTGCTCGTCGCCTGGCTCGTCTCGCTCGTACATGTGAGGCCTTTGGTGCTGGATCCCGTCGTGCTGTCCATCGCCGTGGTGCTCGACTCCGTCGCGTTCCCTGGCGTCCAGGCGCTGGTCACAGCCATGCTGCTGAGGGACGTGATGTTAGTTGGACTGTTCGTCTCATTCGTGAGTGTGCGTCTTCTGGGACTGAAGCGCGGCGTGCCGCTCGACGTGGTAGTGCTCAATTGCCTCGTGCTGTACTGTGTCATGGTGGTCGCAGATATGCCGCTCGGGTACGCGGTGCGCATTGCACTACTCGTCTCACTCTTGGATGTGCGGCTATTGGTACTGGATTTGTTTTTGATGGGCATCGTCGTGGTGCTTGATCGCGTCGTATTGTACCGTGTCGAGGGTTGGCCCCTGACATGTTGCTCGACGACGTGGTGCGCGTTGCACTGCTCGTCTCGCTCGTAAAAGTGAGGCTATTGGTACCCGAATCCGTCGTGCTGGCCAGTGTCAGATAACTGGTACTGCACGTGCTGCACACCAACATGGTGCTCCTTGCACTACTTGTCACTGTCGCGGGCGAGAGCCCTGGTGGGCTCGCCGCGAACATGAGGGCGAGGGCTGGGGCGAGGGGGACGAGGGATAAGCGCCGGTAAGCACCCGAGCGGAGCTTGTGCCGGTAAGCGCCCGAGCGGAGCTTGCTAGGGCGGTCCCTCTGCCCCTGGGTCTACGTGTGCCCTGTCGGTGTCGCAGTCGCTGGTACGACGGCTGGCATCGGAGGCCTGAGGTGCGAGCTCAGGCACGGGCAAAGGCTTCCGCATGTGTGCAGGCGGGCTGGTGTCTCCGCCGCAGATCCCGCCGTCGACAAGTCCGACGTCTCTGCTGACCTGGGCCTTGCCGTTGGCGCAGTGTTACCCCTCGCCGGGATCAAGCTTGACGCGAGCAGAACGGCAGTATTGCCAGTGGTGAGCAGGACCACCCTGTAGTTACTGGTTCTGATCCCCCGTACGGCCAAGGACGGTGCGACGTTGTCCGTCAGTGAGGTTCTTAGCCTGGTTGGTGACTGTTTCCTCGGCGCCTACCTGGATGCGCGGAGGCCCTGGTGGCGGGACGAGGCCCGTGGTGTCGGGCAGCTCTTCGGCCTCGGTGGACCTTGCATTTGCCCTGGTGGGTGCAGGCTCAGTCCCGAGATCGGGCGACCAGGCCCCCACGCTGCCTCGACGCAGATACCTCTCACGTCGTCCGGCTCGTCAGCTCGCGTGAGTGCTGCCGTGGGATATGGTGACGTGGAAGGTGGTGCTGTCAGCGGCGTTTGCCGTGCAGTGGGTGTCACTGAGGCCTCGCCTGGATTCGCCGTGGGCTCCACCCCTGTGGGTATACCTCTAGGGTTTGGCGGTGGCTGCAGCGGATGAGTCCTGGGTCCTTTGGTGACGGCTACCCCCTCCGAGGCAACCGCTGGGAAGATGGCGACGGAGTTCCAATGATCCTCGGTCTGTGTTTTGGCTATGTTGGGTGTTAGTGGATGCAACTGGTGTGCGAGACCCCACAATCGGCCCTGCGAAACGGCGGCTCGATCGGGACGTCCCAGTTAGGTGCATCACGGCTGATAAAAGGGGCAGTGTCGTTGCCTTGGTGGGCATCGGCCGCGACCGTGGACCCTGCTGAATCACGACTTGTGCCCGTCTTGTGATTCAGGGAGTGGTGCAGTTTGGTGTAACAGTTCATGTTCCTCCCGCGCTGTTTCATCAGCTCGCCCCTAAGCTTATGCGCGCTGGTCGGAGCGGTGTTGATGGTAGATGTTGCAATGTTTATGAGCTAGTTAGTCGCAAGTAGCGACTGCTCGGTCGATTCCACCACTGCTCTGGAGTGCGGCGTCGCAGGCTTCTTTTGGGCGGCCCTTGCCTGGTGGCTTGGGCTGCGGTGGTAGATGAAGTGCACGGCGAGGGCTATGGAAGATGTAAGAGGATGTGACAAGAACCAGCCATGTTGTGAGGGCCATGGGTCCTGTCCCGCCATGCTATCTATGGGGTGCTGGGGGAGTCGTGTCTTGGCTGCGCCCTGGGTCCGGGGACCCTCGAGCCGATACTGGGCCCCAGGGAGGGGAGGAAGAGAGCGGGAGGGAGTGGGGGGAGGGGGAGGGGCAAGCTGGGTGCGCTCGCGTCATATCTGACATCCTACCCCTCCCTCCCATCCCTTACCATGGCGTAGATCCCCTCTCTACTCGCACAGTCGGATGTCGAGCAGGGCAATGATCCCGAAAGGGTACGCCATGCATTGTAGAGCACGGCATGGCATGGCGTAGAAGAGCACCGCAAAGTGTAGTATGTCACAGTATGGCGTGGCGTGGCGTAGTGAAGAATTGCATCACAAAGCTTTGCAACGCAAAAGCATGGCATCGCACAGCGGCCCCGAACATAACATTGCATAGCATGGCGTTGAAGATCAAAGCGTAGCATGGCATAGCACGACGTGGCACTTAAGCACTGCATATCACAGCTTCAGCTGAAGGCATGGCATCGCGCAGCGGAACGCAACCTAGCATTGCATTGCATGCCGTGGCATGGCACGGGAAATGACGCCAGCGCTGAGCGGGAGCACGATTCGGAACGAGCGGAAGCGCGGAAATGAGGTCAGCGCTGCAGCGGGAGCACGAGTCGGAACGAGCGGAAGCACGGAAATGAGGCCTGCAGCGGGAGCACGATTCGGAACGAGCGGGCCCCGAAAATGAGGCCGGCGCCTCAGCTAGAGCAGCATTTCGGAAAAAATGCAGGCGAAAACCCAACTCCGGGGAGTCCTGTGTGTAAAAAACAGTACGCGGGGGGAGGGCGAACACTCCCAACCCGAAGGAGGAGAGTAGTATTCATATTGAGTAATTGTAGAGTGGAAGGGGAGAGTGGAGGGGAGAGAGTGGAGGGGAGAGAGTGGTGGGGAGACAGCGGGGGGGGAGAGTCGAGGGGAGAGTGGAGGGGAGAATGGAGGGGAGGGAGTAGGGAGAGGAGGGGGGGGGGGCGGAGTGGGCGGGCTCTCCCCACCCGGGCTCCCCGACATCGTCCACGGTACTCAGGCCGTGGCGATGGGGCTGGCCGAGCACCCTGGGATCGCCGCCGTGTCCTTCGTGGGCAGCTCGCGGGTGGCTGACATCATCGACAAGGCAGGCGTCCTCCTGTTGCTCCTCCCGCTTCTGCTCCCTCCCTCGCCCGCTCCCTCATCCCGCTCCTCCGGCCCTCTCCCCCCTCTCCGGGCTGGAGCGGTTGGGGGGGGAGCTCATCATCATCATCATCGAAGCGTTACGCCCAAGCGCGGGTCGCCGCGCGCGCTGGTACGGCCACCCCCCCGGCCCGGGAGCGCCGACGTCCGACGACGCCGAGGAGAGGGGCCTCCTCCTCCTCCTCCTCCTCCTCCTCCTCCTCCTCCTCCTCCTCCCTTCTCCTCTCTCTACCATCTCCTCCTCCTCCTCCTCCTCCTCCTCCTCCTCCTCCTCCTCCTCCTCCTCCTCCAGCCCTCATCTACCCTCCCCGCCAGTCCGCGTCCAGGGGGGGGGTGGGCGGCGGGTGGGCTGCGGCTTTCGCTTGGGCGCCGCCGTTTCTGCGCCGCGGAGGGCCACGGCTTGATGCCTGGAACCCCTCGGGTCCGTGTAGGGACGCGCCCGACAAGTGTTCGAGGGCGGCGGGAGGTGCGCTGCACAAGGGTGTGTCGGGTCGGGCGAACTGGGGAATAGGGAGTTACGACATCGGCTGCATACACTGGCGCCGCCTCCCCTTGCCGCGAAAACTTGCTACATGCGATCGACTGTCCCCCCTTCCGCGGTTCGGTCGGTTCGGCTGCGTCGCAGTCGGTTGCATTCGCTCGGTTCGGTTATGTTGGATGGTGCGTGTCGTTGCTGCGTCGCCGTTCCCTTCTAGGCTGCGTGCGGCCTGTCAGTTTCGGTTTCGTTGCCAGTTCGGTCGATTGTCGGTTGTACTGTTGCCCTGCACGGCCTTGAGTGCTGGGTTTCTGAGCCAGCCACGGTTACCGAACAGTTCCTTCGTACCCGAATCGCCGAAGCGGTGAGGCGGCGCGCGCCACTGGGAAGCGGGCGTTGTGCATGGGCGGGGCCAAGAACCACCTGGTCGCGATGCAGGACGCCGACGAGGACATGGCCATCAGCGACATCATGAACTCCGCCTTCGGCTCCGCCGGCCAGCGGTGCATGGCCGCAAGCGTGCTTCTGGTGGTTGGCCAGGGCCGCAGGGCCTTCATAGATGCGCTGGTGGACCGCGCAAGCAAGCTCAGAGCTGGGCAGGCCCGCCACATCAACATTCACGGACACCCCGCAATGGGTCGTTCCTGAGCCTCATGTGAAGGATGCGGTGTAAAATTCACCACCAAGAGCCAAGATCTCTACACACTGCCAACCTCCCTGAAGGCACGGGGAAAACTCGGCGGCGGGTGTCTGTGCATAGAGCTTCGTGGCGCACCAGGGGCCGGGCGAGATCGGGCCCCTCATCGACGAGCCTGCTTGCGCCCGCGTGGCGCGCTACATCGACGAGTGCGCAAAGCACGGCGGCGAGGTGCTCCTCGACGGCCGCGCGTGGCGGTCCCGGGCGAAGGGGCACTGGGTGGGTCCAACGGTGCTCTGGCTCTGCACAAGAAAATGCCTGGTCTACGTATGAGGGCTCTGAAGGTCGGGGGGGGCGTCGGCTGGCCACCTCACTGGCCCTGGCCAGGCCCCGGACGGGGCCTGCCAGGATTTGCGAGGCGGTCGGATGATGTCCCCTGAAGCGTGTCGGGCAGGGGAGAGACATCATGGCCACCCCTGCACATTATGCTTCTTCTTCGTTATCTCTATCATTCGTATAATCATTAGGCGTCAGTACTAATATCATGTGTACTAGCATTTTTATTTATATAAATGCATGCATTGATGGAATTAACTACTGTTGTCTTCTCATCATTATCATAATTTGTCATTCGTATACTTATCATTACGAGTTGTCTTCTTCATCGTCTTCTTTATATCCCGGTGCCCCAAACAGTGCTTGCACATAGAGGCCCTTACTTGGCTTTACCATCTCGGGGAGAATGGCGGCTTTTGCGGGCGGTGCTGCCCGTCGCCGCCGTCGCCGTCGCCGCCGCTCGGGGCGAATGGCGGCTTTTGCGGGCGGTACCGCCGTCGCCGCCGCATAGAATGCACCGCCGTCATCATCGCATTTATTCTCTGTTGTTAAAAGATAAGATTATACCCCCCGGGATTATCCGCTCCATTTTCGTCGCATTGCAATTTGCAGGTTATTATGCCTTATCGTCTATCCTAAAAATGAGTTCGTATCATCCCAGCGGAGCCGGTATCGGCTCCCCCCCGCCATTTTTTACAACAAACACTATGCGCGCGCACTCGTTTATCACAAATCACCAAGTTTTAAAACTTTTTTTCAGAAAATGTGACGAGGTGCGCACGCGTGCGCCGTCGCGCGCGCATGCCGAAATCCTTCGAAAACCTTCGCATTCGTAATGATTTCAAAATCGAGTTTCCAAAACAACCATGTATATACAAGTGGCACGTGTGTGCCAAGGAACATACAAAAACTGAAAGGGCGTTTGAAGCAGGAAGACACCATGACTGCAGGATCGGAGATGGAGAAGGGGAAGCTGGGGCGGCGCCGCCAGGGCGTGCCTAAGAGAAGGGGAAGAGGCAGGAGGTGAACGCAGAAGAATCTAAGATCGAGGTCGCACTCGAGCGCAAGTGGGGTTGCCACACCTTGCGATGTGTGTACCAGGACCCCCCAGGAAACCTCAGGAGGCCCGACTTGGATACCGGAAGAGGCTCCAGGAGGCGGGATTGTGAGTGTTGTGTGTGTGTGTGTGTCTGATGTGTGCTCTGTGTTGTGCGTGTTTCTTGTGCGTTGTAGGTGTTGTGTGTGTCATGTTTGTCTAGCATGTGATGTGTTGGGTGTGATTTGTGTTTCTTTGTGTGCATGTAGTTCGAAGGCCCGAGGAGGCCCCAGGAGGCCCCAGGCGGCCTCAGGAGGCCCCAGGAGACCCCAGGAGGCTCCAGGAGGCCCCAAGAGCTTCCAGGAGGCCCCAGGAGGCCCCAGGAGGTTCCAGGAGACCCCCAGGACGCTCCGAGGCGGGGTCTGGGGTACCAGAACGCACAGAAAGCCCCAGGAGGCTTCACGAGGTTCCAGGAGGCCCCCAGGAGGCTCCGAGGCGGGGTCTGGGGTACCAGAAGGTACGTCGGGGCTCGATTTTGGGAGCATGTCCCAGGCGAAACCGCCATTCTCTGAGAATCTGAGTCAAAATCATTGAAATCACGTGGTGTTTTCGAAGTTAGAATGTTGAGATTCCGATGTGTTTTTTTTGACCTTGATGCACGATCTGCGTGAGGGGTGCCACCGATTTTCAGAATTTCGAGGATGTCCCTAGCGAAGTGGCCAGAAGCATCGCAAACGTGGCGCCCCGCGTGCGCATCAATCGCCTCTGAGTTATACTCCCTCGGAGAGGTGCGTATGTATGTATGTGTATATATATATATATACATACACACAAGCACAGGTTTTCGTAACACGGCTGATTTGTTGTTTAAAAAATGCGCGCGGCATCTGGGGAATTCTTAAGAACATCATCGTGCTTTCAACGACATAACATGCTACTAAAAAGGGCGTCGCGCGAATGTCAACATCGCTCGAACGCCCTTGCCCTTGCGCGCGTGCTGTCGCAAGAATCCTGCTGCAAAAAACAAACACGGATTGCACGCGCGCGCGTCGTCGCGCGCGCATGCTGGAGTCGGTCAAAAACCGTTGGTTGCATAAGGATTGCAAAACCGGGTGTCCCGAAACCATACAAACCCACATGGTTTCGCAACCCCCGTTTTCAAAAAAAAGCGTGCGCTCGCGCCCTTGCGAACTAGTGAGAAAACCATATGCGTACATTATTATCATTGAATTCTGCCAAGCGGGCCTTTCGTGCCGCATGCCGAAATCATTCAAACACCCTTGCGCGCGTGCTGGGGGAGGGGTGGGGCACGATCCGTATCAAATGTATCATGCGGCCGCTTTCGCGCGTCGGCCGCGCGCGCGTGTCGAACTCTGGTCCCATGCCTCTATCGCCGACGCGAGGACGCCGTCGTCGTCGTCGGCGTGATCAGCATCCGCGCCGTCACTGGCCGCGCCGTCGTCGCTGTCAGCATCGTCACCAGCATCGCTATTATCATCGCTGTGTCTACCGTTGTCGACGTTGCCATGATACCGCGCCCGCCAAACTCGCCGACTCGCACTGAAGTGCCCGCTGGGATGTGCCGAGCGATCAGCGCCACCGCGTTCGCGTCGGTCGCGCCAAACTAGCAGGCCGCTGCGCGGGCGGGCATGCGCGGGCTAGCGCGGCCGCAGAGATGCACGAGCCGATGCCAAGCACTCATCGCATGCGTTCGCGCTCTTGCGCATTCCTCGGAAAATCATCGGTTGTTCAACGCGTTCATGGTGGAACGTTGCCAACAGGCCTCAGGCGCCGCATGCCGAAATTCTTCGCGCGCCCCCGCGAGCGTGTTGGGGTGGGTACGATCCGCGTCAAATCATGCCATGCGGGCCAATCTCGCGCGTTGGCCGCGCGCGCATGTCGAACTCTTCCCCGCGCCTCCATCGCCGACGCGAGGGCGCCGTCATCCTCGTCGGCGCGACCAGCATCGGCGCCGTCGCGGGTCGCGCCGTCGTCGTTGGCAACATCTTCACCGGCATCGCCGCTATCATCATCGCGTCTACAGTTCTCGACGTTGCCGTGATACCGCGCCCGCCCAAGTCGCCGACTCGCACTGAAGTGCCCGCTGGGGCGCGCCCAGCGATCAAAGCCACCGCGCCCGCGTCGGTCGCGCCAAACTAGCTGGCCGCTGCGCTCGCGTGCTTGGGTTGGCGCGGCCGCAGAGATGGACCGGCCGTCGCCGGGCGCTCATCGCCATCGCCACCGCGCAAACCGAGTTTGGCAATTTGCATGTGATCCCGCCCCACCAAAGGCCATCCCAGCCAGCCGAGCCGGCATCCGCCCCCCCCGCCACTCTCTGCAAAACATATTATGCGCGCGGTCGTTGATCGCAAGTGATGAGTTTTCAAGAATATTTTGCAAAAGCTGGGGCGAAGTGCGCGCGCGGCGTCGCGCGAGCGCATGCCGACATCGCCCAACAAATGTAGGTGTCGCAAGAATTTCAAAATCGAGCGTCCAAGAAACATATCAAAACGCAAGATTTCGCAACGCGGATTTTCAAACAAAAAAGTTCGCGCGCGATCTTGCGCATTCTTAAGACAGCCATAGGTGTTCTCACCATTTTCAGAAAATGCCACCAAACGGGCTTCGCGCGCGCATGTCGGAATCGTTCGAACGCCCATGCGCGCGTGCCGTCGCGAGAACCCGTTGCAAAAGAATTGCGTCGTCGCGCGCGTGCCGAAATCCGTCAATTGTTTGGTGTCGTGGCGATTTCCAAACTGAGTGCCCAGAAACCACATGAAGATTTGGTTTCGCAACATCAATGTTCGAAGAACGCGCGTTCACGCTCATGCGAAGTTTTCTGAAAATCTTGTGTCTTCAACATGTTCATGGGATTATGCCGACAGGCCTATGGCGCCGCGTGCCGAAATCATCCGCGCGCCCCCGCGCGCGCGTTGGGGTGGGGGCACGATCCGTGTCAAATCATGCCATGCGGGCCACTTGCGCGTTGGCCGCGCGCGCGCATGTCGAACTCTTTCCCGAGACTCCATCGCCAACGCGAGGGCGCCGTCATCGTCGTCGGTGCGACCAGCGTCGGCGCCGCCACTGGCCGCGCCGTCGTCGCTGGCAGCATCTTCGCCATCATCGCCACGACGTTGCCGTGATACCGCGCCCGCCCAAGTCGCCGACTCGCGCTGAAGTGCCCGCCGGGGTGCGCCCAGCGGTCAACGTCGCCGCGACCGCGTCGGTCGTGCCAAAATAGCTGACCGCCGCGCGAGCGTGCTATGGTTGGCGCGGCCGCAGAGATGGACCAGCCAACGCCAAGCACTCATCGCAATCGCCACCGCATGGGTTTTGCAAACCAAGCTGCGGGTGGGCGGGTGGGATGTTTGAAAGGGCATATAATGGGTCAACTCGTTTGGCAAAATCCATTGCGCCTCATAGGTCCGCCGTTTCTTCTCTGTTTGTTTTTTGTTTCAAAAATCATAACAAATCCCAGTGCGACCCTAGCTAGGAGTTGGAGCCCTTAGGAAAGCAGCATTAGTAGTAACGGTAAAGCTAAGCTATCTCTCCAAGCTTGCCAACGACCTGGGACTCTGTGTCAGCATATTTGACAGGATGTTTCACGCACTCCGCGGCCAAGATGCGGCTGTGGTCCACCTGTCGATCTGCTACCGCATGCATCCGCAGCTACTCGCCTTTCCGAACGCAGCCTACTACGGCAAGGGTATGACGACTGGCATCATGGACCCGCTCAGGGACAGGCCCATCGTTGAAGGCATCCCATGGAGAGACATCACACCCTAGGAACCCGGGCGACTGACCGAACTGGCCAAACTCACCGGTTCCAACGAGGCCGACCTTTGCGCGACCCTCAAGCAGTTAGATCCTCCGCAAAACGGAGACAAGCACCGTTTCCTTTTGGTCGACACACCCTCCT